CAGCTCATCCGTGCTTCGGAAGGCACGTTAAGCCGTTGGTCCCGGCTGCATCTGCAGTCGCAGTCGCTAGCACCCGCCGATCCGCAATGGCCCGCGTGGTGGGTCATGACCCAAACTCCCTATTCCAACCAAAGGGAATGCCTGTGCCCCACCAGTGGGGACATTAATAAGCTGATGATGAACAACAGAAAACATGCACATTTTCTTTTGATTCCCATTCGAATTGCAAAATAAATTTACAATGCCAAAATAAAACATTATCAACAGAAAAGAAAATTGCCTCGTTGTAACAACAGAATTCGCAGAGCTCTCGCTCAATGCTCGTTATTCTACTAGCTACGATTTTGTTCCGAAATTAAGATAAATTGTATAGAAATGCAGCATCGCAACATCGGTAAGAATACAAACGCTATTCCCGTTTCAAAATTAAACCTTACGATCCGGTTATAAGGTTGTTTTCAGCACAATCAACTTTGTATAACCACATTTGCGGTTTCTAAAGAAAATAGTTCCAGATAAATTCGTTGTGAATACCACTTATTGACTGTTCGAAACGCTGTGCATGTTGTAGTTTCTGACAATTAACCGACAAGGGAGAACGCCTTTCCTATATTACTACTTCTAGGCCCCGCATTAAAGGTTGCCTGGTAGAGATTGCTCCCTCAAGTATTATGTAAGCAGATTTATTATTACAATTATTTACCCCCTCCCCCCCCCCCTCGTCAGCAAAAGTAAGCAAAGCTCTTACCCCTCCCCCCCATGCTTACGTAAACATTGCAACCTATATGCATTTTTCCTTTAATGTATTCTGTTTTTTTTATTGATTCATGAACTTTCATGAGCTTCATGAGCAGCAGTACTTAAAAAGGCTTAATCGATGATGCTGTCGTAATCACCTTCTCTACCCCCCCCCCCCCCCCATGTCATCAAAAATGAGCAAAGCAAAGATCCCCCTGCCCCCCTATAGTGCCTACGTTATACTTGAACAGCCCCTAAGGCCGCCTTTTGTGTTTGTGTTCCTGAGGTTTATGTTTTACTAGTGGTCCCGCCCTCGCTTCGCTTCGGGGTAGAATTGATTAAAATCCTTTCTTAGCGGATGCCTACGTTAAACATCTACCTGCATGCAAAATTTCAGCCCGATCTGTCCAGTGGTTTGGGCTGTGCGTTGTTAGATCACTATGTCAGTCAGTCACCTTTGAGTTTTATATATATAGATAGATATAGATGTATTTTGTTAAATAGTGCAATAAATTATATTCATTCATTCATTAATAGAACGCTCTTAACTCTGAGAGCGAGATCTTGAGATGCTGTTTTCATACAAAACAGCCTCTTAACAAGAACGCTCTTCGAGTCTTGAGTATTCTATTAATACGAGCCCTACTCTCTCAAACTACTGTGCTGTACCCTTAGCACTAACCATTATTGAATTCGAATAGTTTGCGAGTCCGAAATGTCATTGTCAAATATTGTATGAGAACTTGAACAGCAGCGCCATAACGTACGTAACGTATAATAACGTATACTCTGATTTCTTTTCTTTTTGTTTTCTAATTAGGATGTAATTAATTCATTTTTCCTTTTTCTTGTTTTCTGTGATGCAACTGCTCTGGGTATGGCAGAACACCAGTGTAGCAGGAACTTTACCTGCTGTTTATGCTGAGCTATATCCAGTGTGGGCAGTACATAAAATACACGTTTACTATCTGTAGTTTGTTTTTTGTTAGAATCAGAATTTATTTATTTGCATTTGAATAGGGTACACTGGCGATCGTACAAATTTTGAAGTTCGCCCCATTCAGCCATCTTAAATAGCATGCAAATATTTTACACTACATTACTAAACGTAATACATATTAATTTATATGTATTGTGAAATCATTTTTAATATCAATAACAATAAATTTAAATTCATCAAATAAATGATAAGTCAGTGAAATTACAAAAAGTGTCCACTTCATTTTATAAAACGGCATTCAAAATAAAATACATGGTTAAAAAATTCAAAAGTCAAATTAATAATGTCAAAGATTACAATATTAATTATAAAAGATCATTAGGTAAAGAGAATAACCTACTATAATTATATGTCATTAAAATGTTGTTGTTAACTTTACTTGTACTTTTTTTTTTTATTTTATGTTAAATTTATTTTTGGTATTTTTATGTGTATGTTATGTGTTGTCAGTAATAAAATCATTTTTCTTTCTTTCTGTCTTTCTAACTAGAACTAAAAATCAGTACACATTTGACAATAACATTTCACCACTAGAGGGTTGAAACCTTAAATTAAAAATACAAGTATCGAAAATCTTGATCCTTTTTTTTATAACGCAGACAAAACAAAAGAAATTAAAACAGATCGTGGTTCAGAGGAATGAAATTCCTGATGATGTATGTAATACCGCAGACATAATGTTACCCCGCAAGCATTCGCCTCATTCTGAACAAGATATTTTAAGGGAGACTGATTGCCATACTTATTCTTAGGAGATATCTCTGAATATATAGATAGCTCCCAAGCAGAGTGAATCAACTAACATAAAAAAAATGTTTGTTAAATAAATAAACTAAATTGTTATTTTGTTATAATTGTACGTACACTGGTTCCGAGTTAAATATTTATTTAAAAAAAATGTTTTTTACTTGCTATAAAGTATAATAATAATGCATAATTATTTATTTCATTTGCATTTAAACTCGTATACTATGCACATTTTTGGTCACAAAATAGTTTAAAACTGAGTTAACTTCTACATTATCATTTAAATTATAGTAGTTATTTCGCCTGTCGTTTTAAAAAGAAATACAATATCCTTTATTTAAATTATTCTCTATTTAGGTATAAGACCTTGATTTTCTATAAAGCTTTTAGCAACATTTATTGAATACACGTCCAAGTGGCAGTTAGCTCAATAATTAGTTTTATTCTTATGACGTTTACTGAGTCAGTTACAATAAATCAGAAAGAGTATATATTCGATTTATTATTTAAATGTCTAATGAATTACATAGTTATAAAAAAATCAAATTTAAAAAGGCATTATTCTAGGACAAAAAATGTAAGTAAAATTAGATTTTTGTAGATGACTCACTATACTTAGGAGCCATCGATATGACGTCACTTGACGGAAGCCAGCAAGTGTTTCAAACCGTGTTCTCCTTTATATTTCACCTAAAAATTTCTTTTGTTTTATTTAAAGCAATTGCACTTAATTTTCATAGACTTGCTAGTTCTTTCTCCAGCGCCGTGAAAATTTCACAAAGAAATTACTAGATATAATATACAACTAGGATAATATTCTAATAAATCTAACTACATTATGTAGTTCTAATAAATCTAACTACATTGACGACCTCCGTGGCTGAGTGGTTTATACACCAGTTTTCATTCAATCATGGACGTTAAATATGCATTTATATATAAATACACTTATATATGTACAGTATATGTATTCTATCCGTTACTCTAGCATCTCATAACACAAGCCTTATAGTGCTTACTTTGCGGCTAGGCTAATTGGTGTGAACGTTGGAAATATTTATTTATTTATACTTAAGTCGTTTATAACTGGTATAACCAAGTGCTATCTAATTTTGTGACTAAGGTCATTGTAAGATGTGTTCAAATAAAAATTTAGTCATTTTACGATCTAGTCATTATTTCATGAGATCAAATAAAGATCTAGTCATTTTGTGATCTTAGGAATGCCTAAAATAATAATGATGCGATCTAGTCAATTAAAAATCTAGACGAAATTATTTGTGGTTATTTTGCGACATAGTCGTTAATAGGGATTAGTCGCACTGCAATTAGACAATCTAAATTATCCATATTACAAGCTGAAATCAACCCATAAGAAAGGATCCAGAACGTCCACAATATTGTAAAAGTTAATTACTATAAAAAAATGTTTACCTATCCATATAATTATTTGCAAATGAATATAAATAAATCTCTTAATAATAAATTAATCAACCACGTCACGTCGGTGACGTTTCACGTAACGCGCTTTCTAGGCAGAACTGAAAACCATTGCTTTGCTCTCAGAGCAAAGGTATCGCTGAGTTTTTGCCTTTTGCTGTCGTTGCGGCACACATTTACATATATAGTAATTAATTGTTCTATTCGTTTACTTGAATTTGTGTGCTGTACTGATGGAAATAAATGATTTATCTATGTATCCATTTAATATGCTGTTAGCGTGACAAATTGATGTAATTATTAATTGTCAGTGCATACATCGTCATTTGTTGAAGTTGTATTCTTACAATATTGTTAAAATCAAACATTAACATAAAAAGTACTTGAGTTTCCTCCAACATATCTTCCAAAACAAAATGACTGACAAATCCCTCAGCTAGTACGTACGGAGAGATAGCGATCCCACAGGATATTACGTCACTGTCAAGCCACGAATTTCGTCACAGATGAGTTATGGGGCCATCCGTCCCATTCCCGATGCTCCAGCTCCTACCCAGGATACCCCCAGGGGCTCAGTCGTGAGGTTATTTTCTTACAGAAAAAGTTGATTTGTATTTATAGCACACATTCGCTTACTAGAGCGCTCTTATTAAGAATTCTTTCATATGCACCATTCTTTAAAGTCTTTTTGTATTATCATTCATACATATAAATGTCTCCAGGTTTTTCTTTTATTAAATAAAAAATCTCACACAAGATATGATGCGTGCAGCTGGATTTGCATATAATCGTCTACATAAAATATTATTTCAATTATCTGAGGAGTCTGATAAATTGAAGGTTTAAAAGCATGCACTTAGATTTAAGAAACCCCTTTAACTATTATGAGGAATGCTATCAAGCCAATTTGAATTCAAGTTACTACAACGTTAAAACGTAGGAAAGACTAATTGGATCTAATTAACCTCTAACTCATACAGATCTTAAACAAGACGCGTCATGTAGACAAACGATTAACTCCGATGAATATTAAAAATTATTTAAATAAATAAAATGTTTAACACGAATACAAAAATTTAAAACAGTCTTTTATTAAATTACCAAAACAATTAATGCAACTACAAATAATTACTGTAAACCATAAGCGTCAGTTGATATGTAAAACACTCCAGTCGCATTCCCCGGGTTCCAATACCCAGCTAACGTCACTTCGTTAGCAGAACAACTGCCAGAATTGAACCTGTCGTAAGAATTACAAGCCCATGATAAGTACCATCCGGGATGACCTACACTCGCTGCCCAAAACCGAACGCACGCCTTATGACTGCATTTGGCAGCCTCGTACTCTCCAAATCCTGGCACAATAGAGCCTTCGCAGTTAGGCTGCTTCCTTCCTCTATTAAAAAAGAAATCCGTATCAGCCAACACAGATGTTGTCCCCAAACCTCCAGAGTTACAATGGTATACTTCCACGTAATCTGCAACACCAGACCGTATCTGCTCATCTATAAGAGCGTTTGAGAAGCAAGGCCCAGCTGGATCAAGTCCGGTGATTCTGGATATTTTCTCTGACGTTTTATTATAGTACGCGACACCAGCGTATCCTAGCATTTGAGCTCCAAGACTGTGTCCTACGCAGTGAATGTTCTTAGAAGGATAACCCTTTTCGTGGAGTCCCGCAAGGAACTCTCCTAAGGCCTTTCCTATATAAAAGGCATATGACACTGCCCTTTCGTAGCTTTTCACTTTGCCACCCTGCCCGTTTGTATAAGCAGAGTGATCTATCATTATGAGGTATACATTTGGGACGTCTTTAAATGCTTGCCTGATTGAATCCTCGTTTGGTTTGTATATGTGGGATTTGTATCCAGGTACATAAAATATTAGCCGTCTAGTTACGTCTAGATTGTATTTAGAAGTGATGCCATCCAAAGCAGCGCCAATTTTGAAGGTGAGATTCATTTGGTTTTGAAAATCATATAGATAAATCTGCACATCGTCGACAGGCAAGTTCGTATTTTTGTCTTGTTTACCTGAAAATCAAAGTTTTGACTTATTAAAAACACGCGAAACTACGAGGAAATAGTGATGTAAGTACGTGATGTGGTAAATGAAGTTTAACGCATTTCCTTGACTTTGTTAAGGAAAAATAAATAGGTATGTTTTGCGAACATCTTGGGAGATTTCGTTACACATTATGATTTACTACGAAGGAAGCATTGTAAATATGAATTTATATTTACTCTTTGTTAATTTTAAGATCTACTTGTTATATATATGTTCATATGAGTTATTTCATGTACAGGTGAAGAGGTGAACTTTAGAACATTTTCCAGAATAAATAAACGTGAGAACTGAATATTTTCGTTGGTTTGTTAAAAAAACAACTAGCCTCGACAATTCCGATGGTTAATTTAAACGGCTTGGTTAATTCAATTATTTTTAATAATAGAATGACAAAGTTTTCTTTTAAAGCATTTATCAGATTCATTTTGACCAATTATATTTCTCTGGCGCATTTTGACCAATTCTCAATTAGAATTTTACTTAAACCTACAACCCCTGAACCTAAACCATCCAGGGAAGCACCCACTAAAATGTACACATAAAATTATTAAAATTCGGCACAGTGGTAAATAAGGAGTTTAGCAACATATGTACGGACAAAAACATATATAAAACGATAATAGTGAATCAAACATACAGAGTGAGGTCATGATCTTCACAGACTACGATACAAATGACAGTGATAAATAAAAACATTGTTTTTTGTCACTGTCTTTAAACTTATTGATAAACATTGCGCTTTATTGACTATATCAAACTGTTTATTCAATGTTAAATATTTAACATTGATTTTAAATTTAAATAAAGATATTATAAACACAACAATATCATTTATTATAAAGAACACACTACGGTTAATTAATTTAGTATTATTCAAAACTAGTAGTGATTTTAGTTCATGATGCACTTTATTGAAATTATTTAAAAATATGATTAGCACAGTAAAACATAGATACATATAAATATCTCCCAAGAATACCGTAACATTTTCGTTACAAACACCAAGTTTAACGATACCGAAAAATCCTTGTCTCTAACATAACTACTCCCATCACATTTTGCTCCCTTAACCTATAAAAAACACTTACATTCCACTAAACCGTAGAGGGATGATTTAAAAACAGACCAGTGATTTGCAACGCAAACACTGGTCAAACACAAAACACTGATAATATAAAACAGCGCGGCCATGATAACCTTGCGACAGTCTTCATTGGCGGTCACCAGACGAATGACCCTCTCGCTGTGTGCCTTATGTGTAGGCGCATACGTCACACAACTTTGGTAAGGTTGCTAGATATATTCATAGTCATAGCTAGATATACGATTGCTATCTAAGGTCAGTATTATGTTCTAACATTTGATCTCTTGTAAGGATCTAAGGTTAAAGTTATCAGGATTTTAGAAAAACGCAATATAGTCTAGCTTCATACAAGCATCGTTAATTATTTTTCGTACTGTTTATATAGGATTTTCTTTGAGCTTATTAAGTTATTAAATTATCAAATTACCAAAAAAACATAAATTATCATTTTCCATGATCACTTTTTTTCTCCTTATCAAAATTTTACGGAATCGCATTAGTGATTCAAATTTTAAAATTAACAAAAAACTGGACATCGACAGATCATTTTGAGTTCATCACAGGAGACCGAAGAGCTGGTAGCTACCTTGGACAAAGAATTAGTCTAACTATCCAAAGAGGAAACGCTGCCTGTATCTTCGGAACCTTGCCTAAAGGGACTCCTTTTAATAATGAATTTTAGTTTTAGGTTCGTTGTTATAGTATATTTTTTGTTTTAAGCTAGTATTAGATAATAGTATATTTGTTAATTATATTATTGTTAAGTTATAATTAAAATATTGTTGATTGTTATAAATAAATACCTAAGAAACTATTTGACTCTTGAGTAATTATATTTCACACTTTTAAATTGTAACATCATCATCAGCAAAGCTTTCGAGTAGTACAAAACCCTCTTGCAGGTAATTCCTTGGCAAAAAAGACCGGGAGGTTAATTGCCAATTTAACAAATACAAACCCAGCTTCAAAACACGCTTTATCAACTCGTCAATCTCACTGTCGAGGATTTTATCTATGGACCGATCGAAAATTATACTTTTTCTTAGGAAAATTGGAACATAAATTGGATTTTTGTTGCTGATGTTTGCAACAGATGTAAATTTATAGCTTCCTCTTTGTTAACTGTTTGTCAAAATAATTTTAGTTATAAAAAACACAATGCAGAGTACAGTAATTGATTTTTAGCGTCACCGGTATTAGGAAGGCAAGTTCCCTACCGAATTTCCAGTCGAGAAAAGTAAGACTGATAGTAAAAAATCTATCAATGGACATAGTAATTTTGGAACTGTTTATAACTAGTAACTCTTATACTAGTATTTCTGGAATATGAGTAGGTATATAAAACCTGACCAACACGAAATACGCTATCGTTGAGGCTATACCTCTCAAAATATTATTAAAACTAAAATATCAAACCGTAGTTTTTCTGCTAACCCTTCTAGGAGCGTATATTTTGCAAAAGTTTTCAAATGAACTGTCGCTAAGGAAATATATGCAATTTATTTTAAAACATTACGAAACGCGGTCGTTATAAGCCAAGGGAGAGAGTACAAAGTAATGTCATCATCTCCAAAATATTAATGCCCACTGCTTGGGTCTGGGCTTTCGACTGAATTACATTGAAAGAAAATGTTATAACTCATAGTAATATATGTTATTAACGGGATTGTTATCATGTACCTTGTTTTTAGCGAGTTTCCGATATTTCGGCACTGTTGCAAGCGCCATGATCACGGAGTAACTGGTAAACAAGGTACATGGTAACAATCCAGTAAATAACATATATTACTATAATGTTAGTGACCATGAAAGTTTAAAACAATATAATGTTATAACTCAGACCATGAGCCCAGACAGCAGCATATTTTAAAGATTTGACGACCAAACAACAAAGAAACAAAAGAAGGCACATACGAGTAAAACAAATAAAATGAACTTTCACGTGTATAATTTGTTAACTACGTTATAATTTAACAAAACTATCTCTGTGTTGACATATTTTGCAATTAGCAGTGCGGAAGACAAAGTTGTATATTATCTAGCGATAGTGTTTAAAACAAGATTGATTCAAGAATTAAACTCTTCCTCAAGGAGTCAATTAAAATACCCGTCGGTCGGTGAGTGATCCAATCGACTTAACAGACGGTTCCGAGTTCGGTGGATAGGGACCTACTCCCTCTTTCACTTCTTCGCCAACTGTCTAAATAAGAGGCGCCACATTCCAACTGTTATCTATGGAAACTTTAAGAAGGATAAAAATTGAAGATTAATACTTACCTGACTGGCTGCCAGTTTTAAAACTTACAAAAATTATATAGTTTTGAATAAAATGGTGTTTGCGATATAAGAAAAAATATTTTATTGCTCACAAATAAACAGACATATATTACAAGACAATAGTGAGAAGTAAGGTTGATTAATAAGTCACATAAAAGTCTATCAAAAGTATAAGTGGCCAGGCTGTTCTAATTATCGTAGCTATTAGACAAGTCCGTCCGTCCGTCCGTCTCTCTGTGGTGCTGTTTCAGCGGCCAAACCGTAAGAGATAGATAAAGAGAATGTTTAAGTTATAAGTTAAGAATAGTCTGATAAGACTACAAACCGGATTTGAGTAACGTAGCACTTCCGGTTTTCGAGAAATCACGTGATTTCTATTTCAAACGAAACCACACAAAATATCCGAAGTTTTCAATTAATTAATTTTTTTTTTGGTGAACATTTGGTTCACTGGTTTGCTAGTAAAATAACTAAACGAATAAGGTTTCAACATATAGCTTAAGAAAATATAACTAGAAAAAATTCCACGCGGTCTAGGCAGTAGACGGGTCCCGGACCCGCAGCCTTCGCTGTCCGGGCGAATGCACTGCCCATTATGCTACCGCGGCCCTGACGGCCGTGTGAAGTTCTTTCTAGCCTTTAAGCTAAGCTGCAAGGCAGCGCCATCTCTTTGCATTGTAGGTAACCCACAATGTCAAATGAATTACAAGTATTTAACATTTGAAAGAAGAAATAGCAATTATAGTTATAATTACCAGACAGCAGACGATACCCCGTCTGCTGCCTGGTCTTCGTGGAATTATTTCATAACATCAAGCAGATACATGCTTAAAATTAAAAATTATAATTATATAGCTTTCATAATTGACGACCTCTGTGCTCGAGAGCTCGCCCCGGATTCGAATCCCGGTGGGGGCAGATATTTGTGTGCATTAGTACTCCAGTCATGGATGTTTACTATGTATTTCTATATAAATATACTTATATATGTACAGTATATGTATTCTATCCGTTACCCTAGTATCCCATAACACAAGCCTTACAGTGCTTACTTTGGGGCTAGGCTAATTGGTGTGAGTGTTGGAAATATTTATTATTTATTACCCACAATGTATAGACATTGTGAGTTACCTACAATGCGAAGAGATGGCGCTGCCTTGCAGCTTAATAAATATTACAGAAAATTCGACACGGCCATCAGGGCCGCGGTAGCATAATGGTCAGTGCGTACGCCCGGAAAGCGAAGATTGCAGGTTCGAATCCCATCCGCTGCCTGGTCCGCGTGGATTTCTTTCTTGTATAATTTTCTTTGCATTTAAACATCTTGCAGTCAAATGCTTTAAAGAAAACTTTTTTTTATTAATTTATATGTAATACATAACCACTATGTCTTCGTACCACAAACAAGCGACATAAGACTTAACCTTATAACAACATGAAGCATCACAGAGCCTGCGTTTGACGGTTCAAGTTACCAACTTGTTTAATATGATCCGAAAACTTATGCAAAGGCTTTGCCTATTAGTGGCAGCGCTCGAATGTGCCGCGGAACGGAAAGCCTGCTATACTAACCATACTTAGTTAGACAGTGTACCTACAGTACAGCTACAAAGAAAAGCTGCGCCTATTTAAATCAGTTTAAAACTAAATAAAAGTTGGCCCCCCGATAAAGGGCCCTCTGAGGCGTCGGCGCCCGTACGGGCGGGCCACCCTCAGAGGGGGGGATGTCCGAGTCGCCTCGGCCGCTCGAACCCCCCACGAATGCTGTCGCCCGCGTTTCCCCCCCCCCCCCCTCTTCTCCTAGGAGAAGACGCGAGAAGAGGGACGGGAAGAACTACGCTTCCCCTCCTGTTCCCCCCTCCCAGGAACGTCGGCCCCCCGTCTTGTAGTTTTGTCCTACAAAGGCGGAAGGTTATTGGACGGGCACGCCCAAGAAGCCCGTTTGGTGATGTTGTACTTCTTTCGATGAGTAAGGTTCCAGGATTCCATGGGGTAGGAGCCGTGGAATCCTGGAACCTTACTTATCCAAAGAAGCACAACATCACCAAACGGTAGTGTTATTTTACTGTGATATTCAGTAAGGTAGAGGTAACTTCCCCACACGGGCGCTTTAATTTTAGCGGGAAATCCGCAATGCCTTATCTCTCTTTTGTATAACTGCTAAATGTCTTCTTTCAATCGTTTACTAGTCGTTCCATCTAGGGTTACCAGATGATAAAATCAAAAATCCGGAGAAAAGGATTGATTTCCATTGAAAAATCCTGAGATTTTTTTACAGTTTGAGAATTTTCTCGCAAACGTACTTAACAATTTAAAAAAGTCGTAATATTATCGTTTATACTCGGCTTATTCTTTTAAATCAATATAATTTGAAGAGTTTAACATGTAGCGCATTATATGAATCCATAATTAAAGAAAAAAAATGGTTGCCTGTAAAGTCGGTTTTACGGGCGAAGATTTTACGTGACAACGTCTTTTTCTCGGTAGAATATTTATTGATATGAATATAATTAAATTGCACAATAGGAACAAGGAATTGAATGAAAATAAGAATTGCACAAATTTTAACTATAGAAATATATTTTGTTTACTAAAACATTGTACATGTAAACTTAAACTTAACACGAGAGACTCATCGTAACGTTACCGAGCGTTACACTTTTTCATAAGTGACTCCCAGCCGCAACCTAATTTAAGACGTTGTCACGTCAAAACCTTACTTAAAAATGTATCATCACATCACATATTTAGTATGATAAAACTGAATAAGTACCTACTTGGATAATAAAGTACTGATTTTAATTCTGCAATTATTACCAATAGAAGATTATTTTTAGTTTTTTTAACTTTTTATTAAAGAGATCTTGAAAATGTAAGCTGTATTTTATTGGAAATTCAAAAAATCCTGAGATTTCATGAGATTTGCAAAATCCAGCCGCAATCCTGAGAAGAGTCTAAAAATCCTGAAATCTCAGGACAAATCCTGAGATATGGTAACCCTAGTTCCATCTCACAATTCCGATATCATTTGATCTTCCTTCTTCGTCAAAACTATACTTTTGTGAAACGAACTCCCGCTAGACATTAGAATGTCCCCCCAACAAACATTCCTTTAAAACCAAACTGCGAACCTTTTTATTGGAACAGGCGTTTCGTTAAGTAGTTTGTCGTCATGTATGTATTATATGAAGTATTTATGTATGTATATGTTTAGTTATATTATTTGTATATATTTACTTATATAGGTAGGTTATTGTTATATTATTATATTTATGTGATCTCCACCTCAGTTGTGCACCCTGCCACTAAAGTGTCCACAACACACTATGGTTGACTGGTACAGAATACCTACGGCATTAAGTCCGCCATTGTACAGTAGCACATACTGAAGAATAAAATAAATAAATAATAAATAAAAAATTCATAACTAAAATCCATTTTACTGTAAGCATTAATTTATATTTACAAAAAGATACCGTTTATTTTAATAACATCAAGAAATACAATTCTATCATTCACTCTGTAACTGGCCTCTACAAAAGTTATTTAAACATCTCAATCGATATTTATTGTATTTATATATAAGAAGATCGTAGCAAATTACCCTCGAATCAATATTAAATTCGAATAGTGTAATAAATTAGTAGTAATAAATTCTAATTCTATTTACTTAGATGCCTACTTAATAAAGTTATTGCACATAGCCCAAGCGTTCAAGAAATTAGGAACATTGAAATATTTATTCCTACTAATAGGTTCCGACATATTTAATTACAGTCAAGTAAAAAGTGTTTGCTCATAAAAAGGCAAATCTCTTCATTCAATATTGTCACTAATTAATGTTTCACCCTAATTATTTTTAAGGACTAATACATATTTTAAATGAAATTTAAATGAAATTTAAAAGCGTACATTTTTTTTAATGTATTGTTCGTTTCGTTAATTTGATATTTATTTAAGCATTTAACCGCTAGATGTTTCAATCTAAAGAAAATTTTACAAAAAAAATCCGCATGGCCCAGGAACTCGACCATCATAAAAGGGTGATGACGGGGCGGGGTACAGTAAACGAAATTATATTTAGTCCGTTAGTTAGATGATCAAAAAATAATGGACACGTATTATTTGTTTGGGCAATCAACCAAAAAATGACATAGTTATAGCGCGTCAAAGTTTGGGAGAAGGACTCGTGACGTCACTTTTAAGTGCAAAATTGTACCAAAACTTGACGTCATGCGATTTTTCATATCAATATATCTCTGCAATGTTTATATTATGTGAAAAAAGAAAAAATACGTGTCCAATACTTTTTGATAATCTACCTGATAAACGAAGAAAAAAAATTGTCATCATCCCTATTGTCCGTGTCGAATTTTCTCTAGTATTTCTAGGGCTGCGTCCCGTCTGCTGCCTGGGCCGTGTGGAATTCTTTCCAGTAAAATTTTCATTAGATTGATATTTTTGTTCGTCTATTTAAAAGGCCATTTACTTCACAGTTATCAATTGATTTTAAACTTTTGTCAATTTTGACGCTTTAAGTTTCTACGATATATGAATAGGACAAGACAATCGTCACTTAAACATGCCTTAATATAATTCACAATCTGAGTTTAGCGGTACACCAGTAAAAAATAAATTATTGTTAAATAAATAAAACAAGTTTCAACGGCATAGATGCACTGGTTTATTTATTTATTGACATTTCGCATCGTTTTCAATATGCGTCATCTGTCGTCAAATAAAATAATAATAGGGTATATGACAAGTTTTAGAAAACGATCTCACGTTATTGACTAATGTTTAAGGTGACCGTAAAATATTCATGTATTTCAGTGAAAATAACCAAATCAAAAACGCCATTTTCAAATTGCCGCAAAAACGTTTCTCTGGACAATATGGCGTCTCACTGGTGTGTGACGTCACACGACTGTTATTTAAACGTCAAACGATACAATGTAATGTCACTCTAACTGGAAGTTTACTTGCGTGTGACGTCATTTGAGGCTCCGCCAATCCCAAGCCTTTTGGGTCACGTGACAATAGATAAGAAAACTATTATCTTTTTCGTGGGTTTTTAGTAAAATTATGAATATTTTTTCTGTAAAAATAGAGAAAATCCCTGTCAATATTCATTCTAAACACAGATGCTAACAATTGGCACTTTATTTTTAATACTGTCAAATACCCTATTCAGATGACGCATCCTATAAAGGACGCGAAACGTCAATAAATAAATAAATCAGTGTATCGATACCGTTGGTGTGCGTGAAAACCTAAGAAACAAATATATTTTTTAATATCTAAAATATTCATTTTCTCACACCTATATCCACATCCACAGTATAATTTTATAAACACTAAACTTCAACTAATAAATTATATTTACATCAGTTCAACTTTTTCTTTTCCCTCATATTATAGACAAACAAATTTATTTCAAAACCGAATTTAAAATGAATATTGAAAACGCAATGAATAATACAAAAGTAGAATTTGTCACGGAAAAAAATCTACTTAATATTGTTTTTACTGTCCAATTCTGCGATAAATTCAAAGTAATATGGAATGTCACCTAGTCTTCATTCTTAAGAAATATTTTTCTTAACTTCATCAGTGGTGATTGTTCCATTAAAAGTTACTTTATTCTAAACACACTAAACCAAAATGTATATAATAACAATCATCAAATCAATCAACAAATTTTAACCAACATTCACACAAAGAAACGTTACATTTTATTATTTTCAATACCTCCATTAGGACATTGATAACTATTAATATTATAATATGAACACATGATAACTTTGTACATGTTTGTGTCAAAATATGAGTAGAGTTAAACCTTTGACCTTTGATTGATCAAAGCCTTTGGCATATATTTGTGATGAGCACAAATATTTTATGCAATGTATTCAAGCTCTGCATCTGTACATTTCCTTTTATCGTGATCTTAGAAAGTAGGACACAATACACCAATTATCGATTTTACAAGCACAAGCTCGGGCTAGGTTGGGACTAAATTATTATTTAGAGTTGTACAGAATAGGCAGTTGACTCATGTCAAATTTCACTATATAAATGTTTATTTCTTATAATTTTTGGTATGAGGAACCTAAACACATCGTTAAAGACTCCAGAAATGTTGTGGTTTAAATTACTATATTCTCGTATAATACAATCATGATTATTACTATATTTGTCATGAAATCTATTAGAAATCATGGTTTTGTAATGTAAATTCAGATCCTACGTGCTTGCGAGTGTTTGTTTACTATTTTGTTCCCGTCACACCATAGATAATCTAGACTAAAATGGCCGACAGCGTTTTTGTATGTCCATGAAAAATCTATTTTTAAATTAATGTTTTGTAGCTTTCTAGGTCAAAAAAAAATACAATTCATTTTTTTACGGTCTAATTGAACAATGATTAACCATTTAAAACATATTTGCATAAAGTGACAACTAGCCTATTCTTTTATCTTATTTTATTCAGGGCAGTTGGACCCAACTCCACCTGGTTCAGACACTCAGTTTTCTCTGCCTCAGTGTCATAATAGTAGCTAACATACTGTCAATTATAATAACTTTTGACACTTTTCTTCCACCAACAATCAACGATCACATATTTATATCCCAAAAGCTAAGTATGAAGTTCTGTATCACGTATAAAAGATTTTAGTATCACTTCTTGGTTTTCATTTAAGCGGTAGGTAATTAAGAATATACATCAGACCACTATAGACTTTAAAAGAGAGACTATAATAGAGGATTTATCAGCAAAGTATTATCGCCTCTAATACCGGTCTTTTAAAAGTTGACACAGTATCAAAGGCTTTTTGTATTTTCTTAATCGTATTTCGTATGTATTTTCTTTTAAAGGCTTTTTGGCTTTTGTATTTTCTATAAAACAAGAACTAAATTGAATAAATCGTAAGGGATCAGCAAAGTCTCCTAGACTTGCGGCTCGCCTAGCAATCACATCTCAATATCGATGAAAACAATTTCTCTACAATATAAAGTAGTCTCTTAATTTTAGGGGCTGACAGGCCGTTACTTAATATTAACCTAGCTAGTCCCAATCAGCTATAAATATGTTATTTCTACTAGCGAAACCGTCGGGTATTTAAGGTCTAGACCGCGGAGTCGCTCGATTAGAAAATCTTCAGCTTCCAATTCCATCTTGGAGTCAAAGTGTTCTCTCCAATTACCCGCTTCACCTGTGAAAACAAGTTAAAGCAGTCACGACATTTCAGTTATTGCTGACATCTATAAATATTTGCACATCGATAAAAGTGACAGGTCGTGCTATAATTTTATTTGATTCTTATTTTACCCATCTTTTTAAACATTTACCATTTTCTAGCAGATAAATGATTTATGATTATGAAAATGAACACTGACAATAATGTGAATCAAAATCAAAAGACAACGGTAAATCTATATACATTCATCATTACCTATTTATGCCGGAAAACAGGTGAAGGATGCCGGCAAACGAAAAACGCGGTTCCGGCGGCAAATAAAAGTTTTGCCCGCACCCTTACCAGACTAAATAGGGACAAACTTCGCAGGATTATAGGATCCCTGACTGGTCATTGTCCCCTAAACAAACACCTATATACAATAGGAGTAACGGACAGCCCCCTATGCAGAGGATGCATGGAGGCAGAAGAAACGCCACAGCATGTCATCATGGAATGCATGAGTGTGGCCGACCAACGGGCACGACTTCTCCAGTCACCAGAATCGTTTCCGGAAGCTTGCAGCAGTCTACCAAGGTTGCTTTCCTTCTGGACCGATATAGGCTGGCTGGAGTAAACGCGAATATTTTTGAGACACGCACAATGGTCCAATAATTAGGACTAAGTGCGGAAACCGCCCTGAAGAATTAACTAACTAACTAACCTATTTATGCCAGAGATTTCTATTAGCTGTTTGAGAACAATCGAATATTGATAACTTGAATATGTCTAAAGAAAGACTAAAGTTTGATGGTGTAGCTGATTTGATTTGATTTGTATTATTCTCCATAGAGAATACCTGTGCCTGTTGATGATTACTATCAAAAGTAGAGGAGGCAATAAAACTAATAAAAACGCAAGGGTTTTCTAAGAGGAGCTCGATGGCGCAGGTGGTTAGCGCGTTCAGCCTGCGATCGTGGAAGTTAAACAACTTTCACAATGGTCTGTCATTGCATGGGTGACCAAAAATTTATTATCTCAAGCTCCTCCGTGCTTCGGAAGGCATGTTAAGCCATTGATCCCGACTGCCTCTGCAGACGTTAGCACATACTAATCCGCTCTGGGCCCATGTGATGTGTTACGGCCCAATCTCCCTATTCCCAACCATAGTGAAGGCCTGTATCATAGCAGTGGGGACATTAATAGGCTGTGATGATGATACCTTTTCTGATGAACTGCACCCCCCCATCTCCGACTGTATTGTTGACTTTCTTATTCTTGCGGAGGCTGTCGAAGCTAAGATGATGTGCTAACTGCTTAATTTCCTCATCGGAATACTTCCGACCGAGAAAAAGGCACAACCGACGGATTTGTTTAGGCAGATCCTGTTCAGAGAAAACATTCATTTTTGTTATATAAGCAACCTGCGCCTTACATAAGAGCACAGTAAAATAACACTACATTTTCGTGGTGTTAAGTTACTGCTGTTGAGTAGGTTTTCCGGGGCTCCACGGGGCAAGGGCTTGGGTTCAGGCCTGCAAGGTGAGGATGCCTGGAGCGGCACACTTTCTGCCGCATCATCTACCTTTGCGACAGGACTCCACTTACACTAAACATCAGGTAGGGTAGGGTATTTTTTTGCGCCACGTTCGAATAAGGCACCATCTTTTTGCAATTGATGCGAAGAGTGTTTTACTTTATGTTGACTTATGCTTTCTTAGATAGCTAGTCTCCTGCGCCGGTGGGGTGAGGCACTCGCCAACCCAGCCGCTGGCCACCGGACGGTCGAGGCGATCCGTCCGGTGTTGGAGGAGTGAGTAGGGCGCCAGCAGGGCAACCTCACCTACCGCCTGGTGCAGGTACTGACCGGACATGGGTGCTTCGGTCACTACCTGCACCGTGTCACCCGTCGGGAGGAGTCGCCGAGGTGTCATCACTGCGCCTCTCCCGAGGACACGGCCGAGCACACGCGAATCGTGTGCCCGGCCTGGCAAAACGAGCGCCGCACTCTGATTGCGGCGCTCGGCGGTGGAGACCTCTCGTTGCCAAGCATGGTTAGAGCCATGCTTGGTAGCGAGCGGGCCTGGAAGGCTGCCGCCTCCTTCTGCTGACATAGACGGGTGGGCCGAAGAAGGCAGGCAGCCGTGACTGCCGGTCTTCGTCGGCCCTAAGGTGGTCTGGGCGCGGCTTAGCCGCGCCATTCGGCGTAGGCCACCCCGTCTGGGGATTGCCTAGTACCCTAGCGCAATCCCCCAGAGACGTGTCGCCCGGTCCACTCGTTGGGCCGGGCTGGCCCGGGGGCGTTCCAGTGAAGTGGCGCACACAGAGGTGAGCCGATCCTGAAACGCTCAACGCTACATGGGCGTAGGAGGGTACCGGTAGGTTTTAGTGGGTAGGACCGGCGTTGTTCCGCGCCGGGGAGTCCCACACACGCCGTGCGCCCAGTCAGCGCGCGGTACGGTCCGTTAATGGATTTCCCATCGACAAAAATAAAAAGTAGTTAGTCTCCTATGGCATCCCAAAAACGAGGTGGAACTTTTTTTTCTTCAGTTCAGTTCGTAAGCTTGAAGTCAAGGTTTGATAGACTGCAAAAATTGCTTCTTATATGAGGTTAAACAGCACAAATTTCAAGATTGGGGGATAATCTTGTATACAAAATGCCCAAGAAAGAGATATAGCCTGAGTACAGCGTGATGACCTTGGCAGAGTTGGCTTTTGAGTAAAAATATCTTGAGATAGAAAAAGTATAGAGTGGTATAAATTGATTCGAACAAGAAATGCTGGATGTGTCCAAATATAGTTAAAGGGTACAAATATAAATTAATTCCTTTTACCTCAAGCAGATCTTCATAGAAAACAAAATGTAGGTTTGGATGATTTCGCTTCATCCAGGCTTCGTCTGTGTGTGCCACGATGGGTGTCCAGGGTACTGAAAAAAACATATGTTTAAATAACAATAAAAATAACAGTAACACTTCAGCTTGGGAAAAAAATACGAAAGTCTTAAAAACAGAAATTCTGTTCAAACACAAATACGTAATTTTGCAGAATGAGATGTTAAGAACCATAATCTTTATATATATAATTCTTCTGTGAGTGTGTATGTCACTGAACTTCTCTTAAACGACTGGACCGATTTTGATGAAATTTTTTTAGTGTGTTCAAGGGGATCTGAGAATGGTTTAGATTCACAATTTTGTCCGCTGGACAACCCCTATTTTTTTTAGGGCGGTACGAAGTTCGCTGGGTCAGCTAGTTTTCATATAAACTTTTAATGAATTCAAAAGCATGCCCTATCAGTACCTATTCGGTCCAATCATTTTCTTTTTTAATAAAAAAAGGCGGTCTGCATGGCTTAGGGAGCTGTTGGTACGTAATCAAATGTTAACAACGGCTTAAAGAACTGAACTAACAGTCTGGCTACAGAACCTAAAAATGGATCCTACACTAACAATCAACAAGAAATATGTAAATAATCATTTCGAAATTGTTCTATTAAATGATAAGAGAGAGAGAGTGGAATTGAATTTGAGAAACCAGTAAAAAGAAAAACTCACAAAGATCCCTTCTGAAGGCCTCCCAGAAATGATGAAATTGTAATTTGAACAGATTCTTTGCGACCATCTTGTGCAGGTAGTAATAAGAAACGCACACATCCCTCGGGTCCCGAGCTACGTACACAACTTTCGCCGTGTTCAGTAAAGATGGCGGCAGCAGTGATAGAGGTAGATGCGTTTTGATGTATCGTGGTGAAGGGGCCTTGTCGATGCTTTCCCAGCTCGGCTCCCGCACTGCGTTTCCCACGCCTTGGAAACTGCTTAGGTCCATAAAGTTCATCTTTATAAGCTCGATCGCGATCTCTGGAATTGTTGACGTGGTCCTGAGGAGAAATATAAAATAAATAAATAAAATAGCCTTTATTGCTGCTTCTTTCTACAACAACTATGTCTATTTGCTAAAAACTAAATATACATTCTAATTTGTATTAAAGTGATCGGCAACTGGTTGCTTATGTTGAACAGCTTGTTTGTCGACAAAGGCCTCCTCTAAAGATTTCCACGTATTCCTGACTCTTGCTAATCGGCTCCATGCTGGGTCAGCTATTTTCCGCAAGTCGTCTTCCCATCTTTTGTTTTGTCTGCCTCTACTTCTTTTTCTATCCCATGGATACCATTCTATAACTAACCTTCTCCATTTTTCTATATTTTCTCTCGACATATGTCCCGTCCAACGCCATTTGAGCTGTCTGTAAGCTGTGTGTGCATTTTTTTAGTGAGGAGAAATATAGTCGTGTTTTATTTAGTCACAGATAGATGATTAGCATAATATTTCGTTCCAATAAGAGAAGGAAACAGAGACTGCAGCCAAAAAACACACTTCAAACATCTACAAATAACCCCCTTCTAGTTGTATCGTTTTCTATCAGCAATAAGAGGTTGCCGGAGAGCCTTGGAAGAAAGCTACATTTTGAACTCCACTCACACGACATCATCAAACCTTTAATTGACTGTGTTAAAGCACAGTCCTTCCATATGGAAGCAAGTGGTTAGCGCGTTCGGCTGCGATCGTTGAAGTTAAGCAACTTTCGCAGTGGTCGGTCATTGGATGGGTGACCAAAAATTTACTATCTTGACTTCCTCCGTGCTTCGGAAGGCATGTTTAGCCGTTGGTCCCGCCTGCATCTGCAGTCGTTAGCACCCGCCAATCCGCACTGGGCCCGCGTGGTGGGTCATGGCCCAATCTCCCTATTCCATCCATAGGGAAGGCCTGTGCCCCAGCAGTGGAGATATTAATAGCCTGATGATGATGTGCTTTAACATCGATAGAGATGGCATAGGAAGAAGGGCTGATTGAGGGCTACTAATGGCAACAGATGCAACCAGGACAAATGACAATGGCAGCTATTGCAAAAGTTGCTTAGCTTTGACGTAGGCCGAAGACGCTAACTACTGAAATTGAAAATTTAATGTATGTTCCACAAAATATTACATTATTTCCTATAAATAGTGATAAGCACTCGCTTAATACTAGAAATAATAATAAATTAACTGTACAAATCACAAGAACTAAGAACACAAAACCAATAATTCATTTAAAGGTCTTTGTGTACGCTTCTACAATAAAATCCCTCTAGCTATATCCAAAAATTAAGCGTCAATAAATTTAAAATACCATTATTAATAAAGCCTATTATAAAGTGCCTGATTATATTTCAGACGAAAATGCTTGGGTTTAAACCGTTCCAAATGTTCCGGCAGGCTTTTCTATATCAATAATTATTATGATGAAGATGAAAATAATTTCATATTGACACCGTAACAATATAATATTTTGTAAATATTTGGTACAAAATTACTTAACGCTGTGAAGTATTTTTCGCGAAAAAAAATGTCCTTAACAGGTGCTAGGGAAAAAATATGGACAGTTCTAAAGAGTTGTATTTTGTATCCAATTTGAATAAAGATGTTTTGACTTTGATATGGAAAGGGCTATGCTCGGTGTTTCTCTGAAGGACCGCATCAGAAATGAGGTAATCCAGAGAACCAGAGTTATCGACATAGCCCCCCGGATTAGCAAGTTGAAGTGGCAGTGGGCTGGCCATATTTGTCGAAGAACAGATAACCGTTGGGGTAGACGAGTTCTGGAGTGGAGACCGCGTCTAGGCAAACGTAGTGTAGGACGTCCTCAGGCGCGATGGAGTGACGATTTGCGCAAGGTGGGTGGCAGGAGCTGGATGCGAGTAGCCCAAGATCGATCTGAGTGGCGTGCATTTGGAGAGGCCTATGTTCAGCAGTGGACTAGGATAGGCTGTTGATGATGATGATGATGATGTTTTAACTTAGAATTTTGACTTTGACCTGACTGCGGCATATGACTCCGCAACTCTCATTAGACAGCAAATTGCTCGCACATGAATGCTTCCGTTTCGTACTATTATACGGTTAAAGACATTTATTTTCTCAAAAGAATTTACAAAAAATCCACTTACAGAGAAAATACAAAGCATAATTAACAAATAAATACTTTTTGTTACTTTATTACAAAAAATAAAGATGTGGTTTTTGGTTCTACTACACCAATGGTCAAGAGATGGCGCTGTAGTCTCCTGAATCGCGCTTTGGTTCCCTTGTTCCAGATTAATAAATACTTTTGATAGGCTTTCACAATGCAGTCGTTAGCACCCACTAAATAGAGATTCTATTTCTATTTTGTTGGTAGATTTTCTTAATGTGCGGTAAACACAAATGTAACAGCGCTAAAGCGACCAACTTCATGCTGTTAATTTTTTGTGTTACAGTGATGCGCGCGCATCTTAAAATTTCACTCTCATCATTTTTTCATAACGCGCCTAAAGAAGTATAACTTCAAAAAAAATCATCACATCGTGTCGACTAACAATTCAAAAATGAAGGTAGATTAACAAACAGAAACAACAATCTCAGTCTCTGCGCATGCGAACAGCGGAGACACAGAAAGGCAATGACACAGTGCGGGATGTTTGCGGTGCGACTAATGTTACATAGAAATGCATGATAAAAAAAATACGTATCATTTTATCTTACACAGATCAAATACATATATATATATATATATATGAAGTGGCAGTGGGCTGATCACATTAGCCGCAGAACTGACGGCCGATGGAGCCGTAAAGTTCTTGAGTGGAGACCGCGTCTCGGTAAACGTAGTGTGGGACGCCCTGAGACAAGATGGGATGATGACATTCGTAGGCTGGCTGGAGTGGGCTGGATGAGAGTGGCAGAAAATCGGGAGCAGTGGCGTGCATTAAGAGAGACCTATGTCCAGCAGTGGACGAGCATGGGTCGATGATGATATATACACATATTATCATATCTATGCATATATGTTTTGTAAATTCTAGGTTAAGTTCGTCTTAGTAATACAGGAAACTTATGTTATTACTAAATGTTTTTAGTTACTTTCAAAGTGACACTATTATTGACATAAATAGGTTTTTTTACATAAAATGATCGATTATTGATTAAATACATTAATTATATACTATTAACTTATGCATCCACTGTACTGGCCGATAATATTATTCGCTATAACAATAGATGAGTGTCACTAGTAATATTGGTAAATGACAGAACAATAGTTCTACATAAGTTTATACAATCACTTATCCATTCAAATACACAATTTAACACAACGTTACGTTACGTTATAAATTGCGCAGGTATGAAAAATCCAATAGAGCGGTTTTGGGCAGTTCAAGTACACATTTGCAGTGCACATTTCAATGTACGTTTTACTATTTTTTATTTTTTTTCATGATTGAAAAAAAATAGTAAAATCGTACATTGAAATGTGCACTGCAAATATGTACTTGAACTGCCCAAAACCGCTCTATTGGATTTTTCATACCTGCGCAATTTATAACTTGAAAACGGTAAGTAATACAAAAAAATTGTTGACACAAAAGCTGTTGGTAATTATGTACGGAACAACTTTTCTATTTCAAGTGAAAAAACACTTTTTTTGAGACTTTAGCGCCACCTACAATGTGCATTTTTTGTTGTACGAGATTGCAACAATGACATAAATTGTAGTACTCAACGCCTTCTACAATTATGGTCGAAAAAAAAGTTTCTAAAATGCATACAAAACAAGAAAAATGCGTTTTAAAAAAATTTTGACGGTTTTTTTGAGTTTTTCAAAAAACGCCTACGAGTTGAACATGCCCATCGCCAAGGTGGCTTACTGACGTCATTTGGCAACAGAAAAAACAAGACTTACCCTTTAGGTTTTTTTTCACCACTCAACCTACAGATTGACTGTACTAATTGTCTTACCACGTTAAACTGTAACCTAAACCTTTTAAAAAGCAGGTAATTATCACTTACTCCAACATTGGGAATCTTTCGTGCAGCGGTATACTTTTTGCTGTTTCGTAGTCCAAATTGTTTTCAGCTAACCATATCAACTCTTGTGTCCATGTGGTTCCTACGAACAAATATGAGAATTGATTTCAATGTGCAAAACATCGTATCTTTATGGTGGGCACCAGTTAATCGTCATGAGTTGGATTGCCTGACTCGAGTTTTTTTTTTGCTCAGCAAATTAAAACACCCTATTCTATGTTAAATGTAAGTCGGATCCAGTCGATGTGGCTTCCAACCCCTATCACCTTGCTGGCATGAGAACCCATTTTCCTACTCCGTGTAACCCTGAAACCTTACCCACTAACAGAAATTACCACCATATTGGGCCAGAAAACTTTATTGATGCAAAAACCTCACTCTCGCAAAATTTCCCCAAAGTGTATCAAGTTTATTGAAAACTAGTGGCCCGCCCTCGCTTCGCTTCGGTGTAGAGCTGAAGTGTAGACTATAGTTATTGTTCTCAGGTCTGTATTATACACAATGGCATTCTTCTTATACCTACCGCCGCCGCGACCCGTGTCGAGCGTGGCAACCGTTACACAAAAATAATCCTTATAGCATGATTCAGTATTCACGTGCGACGGCGCGATGACTTATTTCATGTATAAGTTTGGTGTTTCTATACCGATTTCTATGATTCTTTTTTATTGAATAGGTAATAATGTTAACTTATTTAAATTAGGGATGAGTGAGAGTATTATAAACGTAAGAGTAAACAAATATAATCACAATGCTCCAAACTGCTAAGCTATCAGGAGTTACACGTGTTATTGTGAGTCAACCATAAAAGATAGACATATGCTGTTGCAGCATATTTTTTAGACAATTTTATGCAGAATATTTCCGTCATACATGATTTCTATGTAACTTTAACCATTAAGGCTGCACTCGCGACGGAAGCTTATAAAATGAAGTAACTTCTCCCGTTTTCCCAACATTTCCCTTCACTACTCTGCTGCTATTGATTGTAGCGTGATGAAAAGTATACCATAACCTGCCCAGGAGTATGAAGAATAATTGTACCAAGTTTCGTTAAAATCCGTTGAGTAGTTTTTGTTTCTATAAGGAACATACACACAGACAGACAGACAGACAAAAATTTTACTGATTGCATTTTTGGCATCAGTATCGATCACTAATCACCCCCTGATAGTTATTTTAAAAATATATTTCATGTACAGAATTGACATCTCTACAGATTTATTATAAGTATAGATAATATTTTCAACATATTTGCTCAAAAATGCATTTACAAAAGTTGTATTCATAGTTCGAAAGTTTAAAATTACGGACCATACAACGGAGCGTACGGTAAAACATTTTACCGCACGCTTCCGTATATAGCGCCGTGCGTATCATTTACAGTTTTTTTTTATTTAGTCGAATCTCCTTGGGAGCGCTTTTACTCTATACCCCTGTCTCACTTTAATACTGAAAAGAAAATGAGACAAAAGATATGAGTAGTTCTAATTTTCACCACCCGCACGTGGCGCCATTTGGAAATAAACGACATTTTCTTAAGTTTGCTTAGTTAAATATTTATTTATTTTTATTTATTTAATTCAGGTAACAAACAGTCTTATACAAACAATTTTACAATTTATGTTTACAAATAGACCTAAAGTACCATTAATTGATATATAATTATTATATTCAAGCGGCATAAAAGTGACGGATAACTGTAAACATATGATATACATCGCCGCCGCACATGTTAACTATTTAAACAATAATTCTTTTACTTTCCTTTTGAAGCTGTAAAGTGATTCACTGAAAATATCTGCTTCATTCAAGTTCTTATTGTAAAAATTACATGTCCGTCTAAAAAAGGTTTCTCTAGCATAGTTGGTATGGCAACTCGAAACATAAAAGGTATCTTTTGAACGTGAGGAGAAACGAGGAACTTTGAGCACAATACACTGCACAAGTTGAACTGAGTCTATGTATCTTGTACTTGTAAATATGTGTAGCCTATGTGTATATAATATGTATAAATGTATGTATATATATATTTAATTCATAAATTCGTTTAAATCCCTTGTTTCTTTTACTGACACCGCCGACTCCAGCTTTCTTTCAATCCTCTCCATCCAAAGGATGTCTGGAAGAAATCGCTTTTAGCTATAAGACCACCCATAGAAACACTCTTTTTTTTACAATTGTAATGTTTTATTTATCTATTTAATTTATTTAGGTTAACAATACTGTTAATATTAGTTTAGTTATGGTCAATAAAATTTATTTCTTTCTTCTTTCTTTCTAATGTCCCTCATTTCTGTTCTGTGTTGTGTTGTTTTCAATAAAGTATTGTGTATTGTATTATATTGTGTATTGTATTGTATATTGTATTGTATTGTATTGTATTGTATTGTATTGTGTATATAAAGGTGTTGTTTACTCGCAAATGTGTTGAAAAACGTTGTTTGACATTCATGCAGTATTGGTATTTACAAACTAGCTACAATGATAATCCCGAGACGAAGTCTACTCGTTTGTAATAACCAAATTACCGCACTAATATCATAAATGACTATAATACGGGAATCAAGGGGCTCGATGGCGCGGGTGGTTAGGCGTTCGGCTGCGATCGTCGAAGTGAAACAACTTTCGCAATAGTCGGTCATTGGATGGGTGACCAAGCATCTTCTATCTCGAGTTCCTCCGTGCTTCGGAAGGCACGTTTAGCCGTTGGTCCCGGCTGCATCGACAGTCGTTAGCACCCGCCAATCCGCACTAGGCCCGCGTGGTGGGTTATGGCCCAATCTCCCTATTCCATCCATAGGGAAGGCCTGTGCCCCAGCAGTAGGGACATTAATAGAGTGATGATGATGATACGGGAACTTTACATAAGATATTTATAACTAAAAACTTTAAAATATATAATAACTAAAATACATTATTAAAAGGAGTCCCTTTAGGCAAGGTTCCAAAGATACTGGCAGCGTTCCCCCTTTGAATGGCTAGACTAATTCTTTGTCCGAGGTAGCTGCCAGCTCTTCGGTCTCCCGTGATGTCGACCAACCTTTTTGCTATTTCCTTAAAAAGCCTTACAGCGCTAGGACCCCGCGGACCAAGGGTCTCGACACCGAATGGGACAAAATCATATTCGGAGCCTAGACCCCTGTATTTGCATGCCTTAGCTTTTTCAGCCGCTTCCCAAGCCGCACCAGCTCTTTTGTTGGTTCCATGTAGATGGGAAGGGGCCAGCGTGTCTGAACAGGTTGCATCCCATACTAGCACCCCGCCCATCTTCCATGGAATCAAACTCATACCGTCCGGTCTCCTGCCATCGTCTCTTGCAATACCAGTCGGCTCAAGTAGACTTGGCACGTTGACGGTGGCAAGGGACCGGCGTATGATATCGTACATAATATAATATATACATAATATATTTCGTCTAATAGTAACCTGAGTAAATATTTTTATAAAGAACATTAACAGTATCGCGTTATGATGAAGTGCGGAATGAGTATCATGATTACGCCATTTTTTTATCTTTATAGTGGTTTGGCTTATCTTTGTGTCGTCGGATAAAAAGCCAGGTTTGTTTGCCTATCAACAATTTAATATAAAAAATGGAACGTGGCTCTGATAAAAGATGCTATTTTTTCGGTAATATCAAGATACCACTATAGGCAAAAAGTGTTTTTTTTTTCTTTTATAATAATATTATCTAAGTAATTTAACGAAATTATTATATTATCCATCATACTACACATATTGTATAAAATTAAATAAATAACATTACATTAAAAATGAGGAGCTCGATGGCGCAAGTGGTTAGTGCGTTCGGCTGCGATCGTTGAACTTAAGCAACTTTCGCAGTGGTCGGTCATTGGATGGGTGACCAAAAATTACTATCTCGAGCTCCTCCGTGCTTCGGAAGGCACGTTAAGCCGTTGGTTCCGGCTGCATCTGCAGTCGTTAGCACCCACCAATCCGCACTGGGCCCGCGTGGTGGGTCATGGCTCAATCTCCCTATTCATAGGAAACGCAGTCCTGTACCCCAGCAGTGGGGACATTAATAGGCTGATGATGATGATGATGACATTAAAAATATATATTACTATTTGTAATTTTAAAAATTACTGTAAGCAAAATTCAATACAAGCCACGGGACTTTTTTCTTTAATTTAGGTGACTTCAGATTTGCTTAAAGCCAAATTTCAAATAAAAGTGTAGAATTATTTATAAAATAATATAGATATTGCTCTGGTTTTGTGCCTATTCTTATTAATTTATGGCAGGATACTTCGTCAGCTAAGATGGATCAGCATTTCTGATACACGTACTTACAAACGGCAGCCGAAACAACTCAGTTTATTTAGATGACATATTAGTTTAGCACAAGCCCTTAGCGCGCTCGGCTACGATCATTGAAGCTAAGCAAGTTTTACAGTGGTCGGTCATTGGACGAGTTACCAAAATATACTTCCGTGCTTCGGAAGGCACGTTAAGCTTTGGTACCGGCTGCAACTACAGTCGTTAGCAACCCGCACTACGCCCGCGTGGTGGGTCATGACCCAACCTCCCTATTCCGTTCATAGTGAAGGCCTGTGCCTCAGCAGTGAGGACATTAATAGCTAATGATAATGAATAATTTAATCATCCAAGTTGAAGTTAATCGACTAAACAAGAAAAAGGCATTTTATCTTATAAGTCACAAACAGTATTACCACTAATAAATATTTTCATGACACATCCGTCATTATCAATTTAATCCGGAATGTATTAACGTAATATTGATAAATTTGATTAGATTCATTGGATTAATTCGAAGACGATAAAATCTAGAAAATATGTTTTGTTTAATAATATAATCAGCACGCACGCCAAGTAGAGCAGATGACGCCCGCGCTGGACTGGGAGCGAACGAAAATAAGAGAATGCTGACTTTAATAATGCAATAGTGAAAAGCTGCTCGCAGCAGCTCAAAGGGGACATCCTCGTAACTAAGAACCTAGCTATTTTGAGCCTTCGTGGTGACTAACATTTCTTTACACTAGCATTATAGTAAATGTTGTTATTCGCGAAATCAGTTACTCTTTGATTATGGCACTTACAACAGTGCCGAAATATCAAGGCTTCGCAAAAAACAAGGTACACGGTAGCAAAGCAACACGTGGGTGAAGAATCTCATAGACAGCGACTAGTCGCAGGCCGCAGCTCTGGCCGCCGCGCCAAGACATTGCCGAGATCACAGGGGCTGGCGACCTGGAGCACCATTCATTGTACTATTTATGCTATGGACCTCAGCAGATACGCAATAGCAGCAGGGTTTTTTATAGACAGGTCCGACAAATGACTCCACCCCACCTGATGTTAAGTGATGGTGAAGTCCAGACATGAAGATAGCTGGTACAGCAGTTCTACCTGCTACACTAGCCATCCTCACCCTGCCGGCCTGCAAGTTGCTTCACGCCTCTTTTAAAGGATCCCAGGTTGTAAGAAGGAGGGAACACGTGAGCAGGCAGAGCATTCCATTTACGGATAGTGCGACAAAGAAATAAGTCACCAAATTTCTTTGTACGCGTTGGAATTGGGGCCACAATTAGACGGTGACACCGAAGGCCAGCGCGTGGTCCTCTGAAGGAAAAGGGAAGGTGGAATAAGAGAGAATAACTCTTCAGAACACTCGCCGTGGTACAGACGATAGAACGCGCTTAGTGACGCAACGTCACGGCGTAATTGAAGAGGCTCGAGGTGTTTAGTCACCTCCTCATCGCCTATGATGCGGATCGCACGCCGCTGTAACCTATCCAAAGCATCGAGCAAGTACTTGGCGGAACCATCCCAGAGGTGCGAGCAATATTCTATGCAAGAATGCACCCGCGTCATATACAACAAGCACAGTTGCTCGGGCGTGAAAAAGCGCCGCACCTTGTTCAGGACTCCGAGTTTGCGTGAGGCCGAGGATGACCGCGGTCAGTCACGCACTAGTCACGTCATAGCCGTTCGTGTTCGAATACACTGTAACTTTGTAAGCAAACACAACTAGCCGCCACCGCGGACGTCACCGCTGGCCGCGTCTGTCTGTGAGATCCTTAAAGTGTCTTACAAGCAGACGCAGCTTGCAGCCTCTATCTGTGAGAAACTTAAACAAGGCACACAGACAAAGCTTCATAAATATATTGTTTTAAACTTTCATGGTCACTAACATTATAGATATTAACGGGATTACCATGTACCTTGTTTTTTATGAGTCTCCGATATTTCGGCACTGTTGCAAGCGCCATGATCACGGAGTAACTGAAGTGATTGCGGGTAGATGTTATTGGCAGACATATCGGGCTACCCTCTGACTGCTCACATTCTCACTAAAATGCACTCGCATTTGTTCCCGGCACACAATACTCACAGTATCAGATCGCGAAACGTCACTTTTTTGATTTTTGCGGTTTTTATATGTATAAATTTCTATAAATTGTCTAGTGTGTGGAATCCAGTGGTTCGTATGTACGACACTAGACAATTTAAACCTATCCTCACGAATATCGGAGACTCATAAAAAACAAGGTAACAATCCCGTTAATATCTATAAAGCTAATAAAATTGCGCGTGCACGTTATAAGTGAACAATGGCGCCGTGCGCATACGCAGAGTAAGGTTTCTTAAGTCGTCTACAGGGCACCAATGCTCGCTGAGACACGCGCAAGGTTGGTGAGTGTATTCACCTGATCTAGGGAATGTGATGATCCATACGTCGTCTGGACGAACCTTCAGGTTGTATATGGCCTCCGCGCACTTGACGAAGGAGCCCGGCATGACGTACCCTGGCTTGCCGCATCTCACAAAAGATGTGGTGTGCCCTGTGAATGAAACATACAAATACGTTTAAACTAACTTATCTATAATAAAAACCATGTCGCATAAAGAACACTACAAAAAAATAATTATCCAATATATATATATATATATATATATTTATATGGAGGAGCTCGATGGCGCAGGTGGTTAGAGCGTTCGTTGTAGTTAGGTAACTTTCGCAGTGGTCGGTCATTGGATAGGTGACCGAAAAATTTCTATCTCGAGTTCCTCCGTGCTTCGGACGGCACGTTAAGCCGTTGGTCCCGGTTGCATCTGCAGTCGTTAGCACCCGCCAATCCGCACTGGGCCCGCGTGGTGGGTCATGGCTCAATCTCCCTATTCCATCCATAGGGAAGGCCTGTGCCCCAGCAGTGGGGACATTAAGAGGCTGATGATGATGATATATATATATATACATTATAATGTAATATATATATATATATATATATATCATACATTACAATCAGTGACTGAACCATTCATTCCCTGTTTTCCTACCCTTAGGTTTGGATATTTTTTCCAAATTTATAGGGAACCAACTTTGAGATATACCCTTTCCAATAAAAAAAAAATTATCAAAATCGTCCCACGGCAAAAATTGAGGCGTGGTCAAATAAAAAAAAAATTCGTTGACTTGAGAACCTCCTCTGTTAAGGGCCGTCCACTAATGTTTTTTTTGGCATTGTTTAACCCCCCCCCCCCCCTCTCCCTTGGTGATATATGGTGAGGTTAAAGACTACCAGATATCATGTGTATTTTTAGTACCTACAAAGAATTTTACAGCTATTAACGGGATTGTTACCATGTACCTTGTTTTTTCTTGAGTCTCCGATATTTCGGCACTGTTGCAAGCGCCATGATCACGGAGTAACTGAACTAATTGCGGGTAGATGTTATTGGCAGACATATCGGTCTACCCTCTGACGTCAGAAACTGACTGACGAAATATCGGAGTCTCATAAAAAACAAGGTACATGGTAACAATCCCGTTAATAGCTATAATGTTAGTGACCATGAAAGTTTAAAACAAAATACAAAGTATTTTTTTATATTTATAAAATACAGGTATAAGTATCATCTAACTTTATTATGGAAAATTAAAGACTACAATAATAACGTTAAGAGTTAGACAGAAAGGTTGCAGGTTGTTTTTGACTGACGAAAATAAAAAAAAAACCGAAAAACTTTTTTATACTAATACATGAACATTATATTTAAGGTACAATATTCTCGGACCACGGAGATACACGCGATATATTACTACACCCCCCCATCCCCCGTTGTGATATTTCGTGATTTTTTATGGACCCCTCAAAAACAGTAGGTAAATGAACTTAGTAAGATATTAATCAGTAAATATTACGCTAAAATTGTTTTCATTAATTAACAAAGATAAGCTTCAGTGTGTTCACCTTCAAGAATGAAACGGATTTGTAAAAAAACTTAAAATACTCAATTATTTTAAGTTCATGTGTCCTGTGTGCACCAAAACACGTTCATATGACATACTACCTTCTGCTCGCAAGTTCGTCTGTTCAGAAGGCTTACTACAAAAGTAATAATAAAAACCAGTCAAAGTCAAGGGTTCCGTACTTATCTATACAACGTTAGACACTAAATAAAATTTGACTATTAAAATATCGAGCAAAAACGGTAAAAAAAAACGAGCGAGCCTTAATTATGTTCTAAAATCAAATCAAATAGCGCGCGCTTTCGCAACTTCCTGTTACACACTTCCGTACCATTTCACGAAATCACTCCCACAAATTGCAGGATAGCGAGAGGAAAGATGTTACAAATCAAAAATCACGTCTATTGCATATGAGCCCCAAATAAAGGTGGCAAGGTGAGGATCCTTGGCACAGAACATAGAAAGAGGTGGTTGGTGTGGCAGTTTATAACTGCTGTACCAGCTATCTTCCCGTTTGGACTTTACCACCACTTAACATTAGGTGGGGTAGAGTCATTACATTATATTTTTTAAAAGTGAATATACAACAAAATATTCTGTCAATATTTCAAGCATTTTAACCAGTTGCCGTTAGAAACATAGAGCTCGAAACGACAGAAAAAACACGTTTGCTGTATGGAAACCGCCCTTAAATACTTGCTTTTTTAGACAGACATACGGACAATAGAATCTTAGTAATATTTTCCAGGTCTTCCTCTCAAGGTACCGAAGCTTAACAAAAACGATAGGTCGAAACACGCAATTCCAATGTTCAATTCTAGACTGTAATGAATTTAGAAACAAATATGGTCTAAAGAAAGAGGACCGCGTTGGCGCAGGTGGTAAGCGCGTTCGGCTGCGATCGTTGAAGTTAAGCAACTTTCGCAGAGGTCTGTCATTATGCGCGGACAGTCGGCAACGATTGCCGCGACCACACCCGCACTCCCGGCTTGCATTGGGGGGACTGCAGTTCCAGAATGTACGCCTGGGGACCGGTGCAGGAGTATGTCTGGTTTTTAGTGGCCCTGTTCAGGGCGTTAGGTAGGGCCCTGCTCTTTTCACCCGGCTTAAGGACTAGCTGTAATGCGCAGGGAGAAGTCCCATATACCTTCTTCTCGCTCCCCCAGTAGTTGAAGGATGCGTAAGGCATTTCCCAGAAAAGAAAGGTTGGTCATTGGATGAGTGACGAAAATCTATCTCGAGTTCCTCCGTGCTTCGGAAGGCACGTTAAGCCGTTGGTCCCCGCTGCATCTGCAGTTGTTAGCGCCCGCCAATCCGCACTGGGCCCGAGTGGTGAGTCATGGCCCAATCCCCCTATTCCAACCATAGGGAAGGCCTGTGCCCCAGCGACGGGGGCATTAATAGATGATATTGATGGTCTAAAAAATTTTCATTCATGCAAAAATATTTTTAATGCGTCATTAACTCGAACGATATCCAAACATACAAACTTTCACACTTTAGGCATTATTATTAGTATTAACATTAGGTAATAAGTGTAATCTTTGGTGCTGATAAAGTTATCGGTATCAGTTCAGATTACCTATATTCATTTGACAATGTGTTTCTTATATTATTATGCGTTTGTATTGTTGGGCTGTTCCGTATTCACCCTATGAAGTCTCAACCCATTTCCTTAGTTGAAGACCTCCGTGGCCGAGTGATTTATACGCCAGGTTTCATGGTGTCGCCGACTCGAGAGGTTCCGGGATCGAATCCCGGTGGGGGCAGATGTTTGTGTAATGAACACGAGCATTTGTACTCCAGTCATGTTTAATATGTATTTCTATATATATATATATATATATATACTAATATATGTATTCTGTCCGTTACTCTAGTATCCCATAACACAAGCCTTACAGTGCTTACTTTGGGGCTAGGCTAATTGGTGTGAGTGTTGGAAATATTTATTTGTTTCTTTATTTATTTACTCATCTCACGCTAGTATTCCTAACTCAACCTTTTACCTCTAAAGAAAATATAACTAGACAAAAATTCCACGCGGACCAGGCAGCAGACGGGACTCGAACCCGCACCCTTCGCAATCCGGGCGAATGCACTGACCAATTATGCTACCACGGCCCTCACGGACCGCGTCGAAATTCTTCTAGCCATTCTTAAGCTGCAAGCAATTATCAACCTTTTTCATTATTTTAAGCAGTTTAACAAATGCTTCATTTATATTCGTAAGAAAATGTTTACGAGATAAGAAAATCTATATTTTTATCGAATTTCACGTCATGGTATTGATTGCTAGGTTAATAGGTTCTTAAAGGATAAATATTATATATCGGGGTATTTGAAAGAAGACATAGGCATGGATCATGTGTTATGGTCCATGGTATATACGTAAATCCTTATCAAATATCTCTGCTTTAACTCCGTAACACAAGCGCAAGTTAGCAGCTTTGCACCAGTCCAAGTTCAAAACTCCACCTCGAATGTACATCAGCGAGTATAAAAAAATTTAATAAATAAATATTTCCACCACTCACACCATATAGCCTTATTAGTTATGGGATATTAGGGTAAAGGATAGAATACATATATAAATATATTTATAGTGAAAGAAATATTAAACATCCATGACTGAAGGACAAATGCTCGTATTCATCATACAAACTTGATTAATTTTTGGGCCACTTATAATTTCAATATTCATTTTATTTTCGATTAGAGACGCAGATTACAGACGCAGAGAATTAAATATCTGGCTAGAAGCCATGGAAATCAGATTATTTCTATTATTGCGTAAGATAAATGAAATGAAAAGTCATTTATTTAGTCTAGGCTGCAACGATATTAAATACCCTAGATACACCAACACGAACAAAATCGTAACCGAAGCTTGTCCTAAAGGTACATTGTACGATAACAGAGCTCCGTAAGATGATCGCTTGGTCAAAAACGGTATAAGGCATTATTTAAACATTGAACGTCACCCTAAATGCATACTGTATAAGGTCCTCATTAAAACGCATGCGTCAAAGACTTCTGACAGTCCGAAATGCGAGCTCGTAAAATTTTATGACTTATTGCTATACACGGAAGAATATAGACCTTATTCTTTTGACTCTACGCGCAATTCTGTATGCGCTGTTATCAATATAGCAAGTACTGACCGCGAGGAAATGAGACGGCTATACGGCGACGTATAACCGACCACGCATTTGAATATCATGAATATTTTATATTAAATCAGTTTATAGTAAGTATTAGAACAAAATTTGCTTCAAATGCATTAAATTAACAAACGTTGATTAATTACCTGTCGAAAAAACGACACTTTTCGCACTCTAAGTATTATTTTCTCATTTTTTCGCGGAGCTCTGTGGCATCTTGACTCTGTAACGGTCCGCGCGTGACTGTGAACCAAGAAGTGCTTGGAGTGGAGTTCAAGCACTTCTTGATTGGGACACATTTTGGGCGCTCGTGATGATATCTAGGATATTTAAAGTATTTAACATCGTTGCTAGGCTGTTACAAGCACTTGTGAAGGTCAAGAAGCTACGCAATCGGTTCGCAAAACTACGGCGGGAGACCTTGTAC